GTTTTTTCCCTCTTTTATTTGAATGAATTTGATCTTCTCTCTTTGAGAATATGAGCCGATGTTTGGTCAGTTTTGTTGCAGGATGATGTAACTGGTATTTAAAAACACATGTGTAAAGAGGTATTTCAATGCAGCTTTAATGTATACACATTCCAATACCAGCTTTCAAGAGAACACAGTTGTAACCTAGTATGCATTCCAGGTATGGGTATCTTGATTACAGTATGGTGTCCATGTTCTCCTGTTTTAATTGTTCCCGCCTCGTGTGCTCATAATTACTTCCAGTACTGAAATGGATTCCCTTGACACTAACAAAGCAAAAGGCTTAAGGTCTCAGAAGAATTGTAACCACTGTCATATTTTCTCTTACCAATGTGTAGTGTCCCAAATGCACTATTTTAAAATATATACTATAATATATAATATTTAAATTATTGTATGATCCTATGTTTACGTACACTGTTTCATGTGTTTATTATAATGTTTAATGTGCAACAACCTGACGGGTAACTGCTTATGATAAGTTACCATTAGTTACCGCTCTACAGGCAACCTTCGATTCTGAAACATGCACATGTATAATGTGTTTGGATGATCTGATATGAAAACTTGCCTTTGCTGGATGTCTTCAAGTTATTAAAAAGGGTTCAACTAAGGTGTCTGTTGTCAAAATCGTTATGCTTGACCAAGTCTCATGGTAAACACGGTACTTTTCTCTTAAACCTTTTACTACAGTATACTAACAAAGGAGATTTACAATGGATAAAAGTAAGGACTTTACACTACACAAAGATGTGATGAGAGTTTGAAAATAATTTTTATTTTTTTGGTGGGAATGCTGATACAGCATTCCAACTATCTTTTCTTCGACGCATTGAAATTCTTTATTATCCGGCCGGGTTATTTTTTGCACCTCTTCTTTCTCCCCATTCCCATCGCAGAAAACTCCGTTCAAACATCAAAACGTATCAGCTTCCGTCGGGAATCGATTGGCTATTACTTTTCTCATTCATAACTTTATAATTCCAGAGAATCGACCCATAATTCATCACATTGTTCAACATGGAAGTGAATGTAAAAACTCCTCAGACTGAACAATCTCTTCAACTTCAACTGCCCAACTGCTCCTTCATACTTTCACTCAGAATCATTACAACTTTAAAAATGTTTACACATCTTTCTGACATATTCGTGTTAAACAAACTTTTAAAATCTGATTCTCACTTTTAGATATTTTAAACATTGTTCAGACCTTGGTAAAGAGGCGTTCTTCAGATTTTAGAGTGGCGGATAGTCCAACAGCAAGAGTGGAGGACAGATTTAATTTTGCCTTCATATTTCTTTTAACATGCCATAATTCCCAAACCCTACATTCCTGAGACATAATCTTTTCATGAGAAACATAGGGAAAACCTTCTCGTTAGCTTAAAAAAAAAAAAAAATTAAGCCAAAAATAATTAAACAAAAATGCCTCTTTGAGGGCAATGAAGTGACAAAAACTTTCAACATGTTCTCCATTAAACCCCATTGTAAGTTCAGCCTCATCTTTCCCCACCACAGCAGCCGCACACCTTTAGTTAATCTGCCAAAAAGGCCACATTATTAACCTGAAAGTACACAAAAAGTACACTTCAGATGCTCAAGTTTCTTGACATGCTTCGCGGTTTGCAATGTCACCGATATCTGTTACGGTTCTTCAACAAAACATTCACATGTAAGAGGTTTATCTCTAATTCAGAACAATGAAAATGCTCTCCTCTCACTGATTACTGCACATCACCATGGAAACCTTTGATCTCTGGACACGTCGTTAGCTCAAATATAACCACCTGTGTCATGGAACATGATGATGTCATAACTCCAACTGACATGCTCAAAGCACCAGGCTTCAGATAATCTTCGTCAATTATGGGATGTCATCATATGCCGTTTCCATGGAAACTCTCCCTCGCCATAAAACAAGATGTCGCTGTAACTCCAATGGACATGGTCCGATCGTTCCCCAAACTTCACTTGTATATCACCAGTCCATGCCTCAACAGCTCTACGCCAAATCTGAGATCTCACCATAGGTTGTTGCCATGGAAACGCATCCCTCGCCATAAAACACGATGTTGTCGTGATACCTATGCAAATGGTCTAAAACAGCAGCAGACTTCAGATAATGGTGAATGGTCCGGCCTTCAACAGCTCTATGTCAATTATGGGGTGTCATCATATGCCGTTTCCATGGAAACGCATCCTTCGCCATGAAACACGATGTCGCTGTAACTCCAATGGACACGGTCCGATCGTCCCCAAACTTCGCTTGTATATCACCGGTCCATGCCTCAACAGCTCTACGCCAAATCTGTGATCTCACCATAGGCTGTTTCCAGGGAGGGAAACGCATTCCTCACCAAAAAATACGATGTTGTCGTAACTGATATGAAAATGGTCAAAACACCACCAGACTTCAGATGACAGTTAATGGTCCAGCCCTCAACATGTCTATGTGCCATTAGTGAGTTTTCCTCAAAAAGTGCTCAAACTTTACATGTGCTAACAGTCCAGCCATGAAGACATCTACGTGACGGTTTTGAAATATCTTCAAATGCCGTTGCCATGGCAACACAATGCTTGCTCTGAAATATGGCTTTCTCATAACTTCAGTGAAAATGCTCCATACGGCCCTAAACTTCACAGGTTTGGTAACGATGCAACCATCAAAACATCTAAGCGTATTATTGGGTGTCATCAAATACTGTTGCCATGGCGACAGATAATTTGTCA